TATAACTTTTATGGACTTGAGTTATGAAATATGTCTAAATTGTGATAACTTCTTCATTATTATATATTATTGTATAATTCAATTGTATCATTAAAATGAATCATTGCCATCTTTGCTTTTTGTGGAGTTTGCATATTCCTATTTCTGGGTGCACCTTAAAAATGCAGCAATTAACATATTGTCAACCTCAGTATAACAAGATAGTTTTTGTTTTTTTGCTAAATTTACTTTTTTTTCCTGTTCTATTTTTAATACTGCTGCATCTGTAGGTTTCTTTGGCTCTGTTCTTAACCAATCAGAGCAAGTTTTACAGCAAAAAAGCCCAAAACAACAACAAAAAACAAACCACCTAAAGTAAAAATAATATCCTGTTTCTAAGTAAACAAATGAAGGGAAGTTCCTGCCTGTTATACCAACCTTTAATGAATATAACCATAGCATAAATTCGTAAATGAGAACAAAATAATGATCTCCAAATGTTCTGGTGTGGTGTGTGTGTTACAAACCATATTATCGTGCTACATAACAAACCCCATGGGCCCTTCTAAAAACAGAAGTATAGTTTGCATGTGATGCTGCTGTGAAGGCCAAACTGTCAGGGCCTGCTCAGTCTGTGGACAGGCAGATGTATCATGTGTTTGTGTGTTTGACAGGTGAAGACTAGCGCTCCTGTCAGAGGCCAATGACATGAGGACATAGAATCTGTTTAATGAAAGCAGTGATGTTTGGGTGATGTTCATTTCTCTGGGTCCCAGACTGATGATAAATAAACTTCTACTGTGTTAAGTAGTGCTCAAGATTAATCAGTTTGAATTAACGCAATAATCAAATCGCAAAGGCTTTTGGAAATAACATAATTTCCTCCACAAACAACAAAATAGTTTTTTCTCTACTTTAGATCCAGTATGTACAAACATGTTCTGAAATGTGATTATTATATTAGTTTGTCAGTTCATATTTTAGTCATTTTTTTCCTGGACACATTTGAAAATTCTTGTCAATGCTTGTCAGAAAAATTGGAATTTGAAATTTTTCCCAAATCGCTCAGTCTTTGTTTTAGACATCCAGAGTCTCCTGCCTCATTTTACAAGTCTCATGCTACTTGTTACTCAGTTCGTGTGGCTCAGATGTGGATCAGGCTGCACAATTTTGTGGAGTTGGTCCAGAAGTGAACCAGATCTCTCTAAAGCCCAGATAGTACCCTGAGGACTATTCACATGCGTTATCATGCCTCAAACTCCTTTTTACTGAAATTACAAGCGTTTTATCTGCAGTGCAAAGACTATGATGTACTGTTGACACAATACTAACATTTTAAACTTGATTTCAATAGGAATACGCTTGATACTCAATACCACAATGTTAATTAAAATTTCTCCTTTTTAAATTTTTATAGTTTTCAACACAAAATAATTGCACTTTTTTATGTTGTGATCTAGTTCTGATACAAGATCATTCTAAAAGTGTTGTGGAAATGTCCAATAGAGATAGATCAACAGATCTGGCAGATATTTAGACTTTTTAAGGTCTTAAAGGGACACTTCAGAATTTTGTACATAAGACCTCATTTCCTAGCCAGAGTGTTGGAGACGTGTGGTGACACTTTTTCAAATATTCCATCCTTGGATTTGCAGAGGTCGCTGGTGCTAGACTAGAGCATGTCAATGGCCATAGTTATCATGCCACTAAAAACTGTCTTACCCACTCCACAAAGCACCCAAAGCACTTATTATTAAATTATATTATTACACCAGACTGTCGATGTAAATGTCTGTGTCAATAGAATAATTTTATAAGTAAAACCAACCCTGCGTTTGAAGGATTTATGTCTGAGCAGTACCAGCGAGTTGAACTTCCTGATAGAAAGCTTGGCAGTGGTGGCAAAGTAAAATTCCACTGCTGCTGAGAAAATAGTCCCTCAACATGCAACAATTCATGCAATGCAAGGTTAGTTTTATTTTAAACATTATTCTATCAACACAGACATTCACTGGCGTAATAATTGATTTGCTTTAGGTGCTTTGTGGAGTGGGTAAGACTGTTTTTTGTGGAAGGCTAACTATGGCCAAATGCAAATAGATAACTACTCAAAACGTGACTGCACTGCTGTCTTGAAGGTTTGTGGTAAAAAGGGACTTTAGGTGAGTTTGTCGTAAATTAAAATGACATAATTTGGCTAAAAAATAACACAAATCAGCCATATATGCAGTATATTGGCTCAAAAGATATGAGCAGAGCTTATCAGCCATCATTTTCCCTGCATTGTAAACATACTGTATCTGCACTGGCCATGAAAAAACATCACAGTCGATCTTTAGTGTCCAATTTCATTGTGTTTATATACTTTTTTTCAGTATTGACACTGGCTCAAATAGATATCCTTATTGGATACTAGTTGAACTATGGTTTAGCAACTGATTTTCTGTACTTTTGACACCTGTACTATGGAGGAATAGCAACAGTTTCCACTCACAACATACACAAATAAAGGATGAATTTGAAAAGAGTTCTTAAATGGTCCCATATTTCAAAAACACGGTTGGATTAACGCAGGAAGGTTGTAGTTAATAATTCTATGGAAAGAACACGGCGGCTGGTGAGTGGTGAATGCCCAGACTTTTCCACATCTGATGATAAGTACGTTTCCACCTGTCTCAACACAGACCCCCTCCGTACTCCTGATTACACACAAATAAACCTGCCTATCTAGTTACATGTCTCATTTGGCCTGATTTAAAAAGCAAGGATCTGCATGCTCCAGAAACTGCTCGAGTGCAATAAAAGCACGACCCATTTGTCAAATCATTATCATTCGTCATCATTCATGCTTATTCAAAGTTCAATCATTAATTACTGCTTAGTATTACTTACAATCACAACTGAATAGCATCTAACATGTGGATTGCAATGGGCAAACACTAACAGCATATTGTAGTAACTTGAACTGAAATATCTGGTCTGAGCCAAATAATTAAACTAAACACAACAGGGAATTTTCACCAAAAAGCTTTACTTTGTGAAGTTTTCATTAGTTTGCGTGAGTGTATATCATGAATGTTATTAATGGCTAGAGAAAATGGAAAGATAATCCTTTATAGCTCACTGGCAACTGCATAAAGAAACATGTGAAGGGCTGCCAAACTAGAGCATACTGTAGGTAATAAAAAGCTTATAGAAAATGACTGCCCCACCATGAAGTTGGTCTTACACACAAATACATAAGACCATGTCCATCAAAGTTGGGGTTCCAGACTTTTTTCTTAGCATACAGCATATTGTAAATGCTGCTTACAATTTATCTATCTCAAAGCAACAGTATAGCCTTTTAGAGACTAAAAAAAAAACTCTGAGTGGACTTGCATGTCCACAAACCTGTTCCCTTGGAAATTTTGTTCTTTTGGTTTTAAGATTCCACAGTATGGCATAAAATTTATGTGGTTTTAGCTTTCAGTTTCCATGGAATCCTGTAGGTGACATTCCACCTCCAGAAAGTCTCATACTGCACTGAACACTAGTCCAACACTTGGTGAATTCTGCTTCACAATGATAGGAAGAGCCAACATTGTAGCATCAAAAAGACAACGTAGCTATGAACACTTGGCTGCCACAAGCCAGTTTTCCCTGTGGTAACTTTTCTGACACCTCCTGCTTAAAACCCAAAAAGTCAGAAAGATCGTGAGGCTCCACTTTCACGGTCTGTATTCATACTGAAAATCAAGATCAAGAGAGCTTTTGCCCTTCTGCTCCAAAGGGATGCACAGCAATGGTATCACCAACAGTGAAAATTTGCTGAATAGTTATTTGAGAGATGCTGTGTTGTAAGGAAATAAGTGTCATTTAAATATGAGTGTCCCTACACTGGTATCTGTTAATATTTGCCATCAGAAAACAGTATCAGATAGAAAGTCAAAGTATCGATATCAGTATCAGAACTGAAAAAGCTGGATTGTGCATCCCTAGATATAAATACTTTCTTCCACTGTTTGAAAATCAAGTATCTCTGCTTTAACATAAGAAAAACTCAATCACTCTAGTGCCATAATCAAAAGTGCCCCTCTTTACCTCCAGTCTAAATTACCTGGGATAAAAGTATAAACTTTATTAAACAAAATGTGCTGTTCAAATGAATTACAATCACTGAGTTGGATCCTAGTCAAACTAGTGTCAAGCTGAAATACTGCTTTAATCTAAAACATCAGAACCAATAACTCAGAGGAAAACAGAACCTCAAATCCACTGCACAGTTTCACCCAAACAAAAGAGCCGCTGCTACTGTGAGGTGGCCCCGGGGTGCCCTCCATGATCCTGGGCTGAGTCAGGCTGGATCAATAAGAGAGCGAGGGGAGGGCATCTGGCTCTGCTCTCCTGACAGAAGCCTCACAGTCAGAGGTGGTTGACGGTTCAAATCTCCACAGGAGGCCGAGGTGAAATTGAGTTCAGTCAAACCGGGGTGCCTCCTTTTCTAACTTTCAAATCCTGACGACTCCTACACTTTTGGCAACCTACAAAAAAATAGAAAGTAGGAGTAAGTTGTCAACATGTTTTGTGAAGCAAAAAGTTAAACGTTTGTCACACTGATTAATATCAGATGCATGGTAAGGAAAAGAGTATAGGGACTGGGTTGTGCTGATGGTTAAGACTAGCTAGAGTTTGTTAATAATAATAAATAAATAATAATTTAAAAAAAAATAATAATAATAGTAATACATAAAATTGGAACAGTTCCATATTGAAACCCAACCTGTCACCATGACAACGAACAGGAAAGGCAAATAGCAAAGAGAGTTAACAGTCATAGGATATTCTATCTAGGCACTACTTTATCTGTATTAGTTTATTATTACTTCAACTGTGATTACTATTAGAATTTTATTGGCATATTTCCCAGCTCTACTCCAAATGTTGTTCAGATGTTCCTATGGTAAAACTATGATACCTGTTTATCATTTTTTGTATTGTGATTCACTCCTCCTTACCTCTCCACTCTTATGTGTCTGCAGATCTGGTGTCTTCTAACCGCTCCCTGGTCTTCAGTGGACATCAGGGACATCTCTCTGTGTCTTCTGTGTTTTTGGACGAGTACAGAGACAGGCTGTTCATCGGAGGGAAGGACGTGCTCTACTCACTGCTTCTCAAACCCACAGGACAGGAGTCAAAGGAGGTCAGGAATTTTTTTTTAAGACTTCAAGGATTTTATTTTATTTTTTTAAATATATTTGCATTCTTATTACAGATATTTGTACATGGGACAGTGCAACAATACAATAATACAACAATACATTCATCAAGACAAATGTCAAAGATGCTTGTGCCAGATTATAGCATGATACTAATTTACAGCTGTAGTCCCTGGGCAGGTTGGTGGAAATACTGAAAATACAGATTCAATATATACGGATAAAATAACCACAAATAAATTAACTGTACTGAATGTACTAAAATGTACTAAATTCATACAACTGGGGCAACATAATCACAATTTGCCCCACATATCGTCCAAAAAATATCAACAGAATTTATCGGACATCGGCTTCACTGGAATCCAGAGGTGGTGACTTAAGTCACTGTTTTTAGGACTTGAGACTTGACTTGATAAAATGAACTAAGACTTGGGACTTGACTTGGACTTGAGCCCTGTAACTTGAGAAGACTCGATGCTTCTCCTAAAAAAAATTATGTTTTTAGAAAATACTTTCCTCTTTTTAGTTGATAAATGTGGTGCTGAATTTTACAGTAACACTTTTACAAGAACACGTTCCTCCCAATTCTCTGTTTGTTACTTTGGATGTAACTGAAGTACTGTGAGATGGTATCCTCAAATGTACTACAATAATACACAGTACAATACAGTAAAACGGAGGGAACTAGGCAGAACATGATATTATTTAGCACTTTTAAATATGAATTCTTCCTATTCTGGCCGTAATGATTCACACTAACATCTTGTCAAGACATTTAAAAAGGAAAATTGGCATTTCTACAACTCTTATATAAATACTCATATATAAATATACCAATACTTTTAAAGTACAATTTAGCTTAAAATTAATATAAATTGCAAAAATCTAAGCTATATTTGGTACTTTGGTTTAAAGACTTGAAATGACTTGAAGCTCAGAGCAGACGACTTGGACCGATCATGAAAAATCATATTGTTCAATCTTAAGTTCTTGTAGTAATATAGAAAATTGTACAAAGCTACTTTATCACATACAAGTTTAATTATTTTAAGTCAAACAGTCATGTTCCCAAATGCAAAACTGTTTTTTAAAATGAAGACTGGCATAGTTAAATGTGGTAACAGCTATTTCTAAAAGACAGTGGCACCACAATGTATTATTAGAATAAAATTATGAATAATTAGTTTGAGTTTAACTTCATGTTGGTGTGGTTTTATTTTGTGCTAATCCCATCATATGTTAATCATTTCAATACAATTTCTGTTCCAAATTACAATCCTCAGAATATAAAAACACTGAAATTCTTCCATTTTCCACTGTACATTGTATTATGATTTAAGTAGACATGTGTTTATGGCTGTTTAGTTTAACTTTTGCACCTGCCTTTGACTTTTGCTTGAAAAATCCCACTTGTATATGTAACATGAATCAGCTCTGTCCCCTGTATTACCTGCACTCCACAGAAGAATCCATTACCCTGTCAGACAAAGTACTTTTATGCAGGAGTCTGCTCTTTTGGCCCATACAAAAAGTGAGATAAATGATTATATTCAACTATATTCACCAGCAGCACGCCTCCGAGCTCACACTAAACCAAATATTATTATGTTTTGATGCATGTGAGATTATTTCAGCTGGTTCTTGATAATGAAAGAATCCAGATCTGCTATAAATTTTGAAGAGAAAAATGTGTGTTTGGAGCATGAAGTCAATATTTATCCCTCCTACTAAGATATTTATGTGCACTTGGCTCTGCTGTGTGTTTTTTGATTTGTGATTTGTGAGGGGAGTGATAAAATATGGGGCAGGACTCCCTCTGAAGCAAAGAGCTGTTAAGTGGATTCTTAAGTGAGTGTTACTATGTGGGAATTATTAACAGTATTGTGTGTTGTTCATTTTTGAGCATTTTTTAAAAAACTATTATTATTTTTTTATTTTATTATTTATTTATTTATTATTTTTATTTTATTTTATTTTTTTTTTTCAGTTTTGAAATTTTATATTATGAAAAAAATAAAATAAAATCTCACAAGGCGGCAGTAGCTCAGTTGGTAGAGCCCACTGATCTGAAGGTTGGTGGTTCGATTCCAGATCTTGACATAAACATCACATGTTGAGTGGTCAGATCCACTGACTCACAAGTTGGCTGGTGTGATTCCAGCTCCCACAGATGAATGCTGCTGTTGTGTCCTTGGGCAAGACACTTAACCCTCCTTGCCCACAGTGTGTGCGTACACTGGTGTGTGAGTGGTTCCTTGTTGTACAGCGCTTTGAGTGCTTTGAAGGTGGAAAAGTGCTATAGAAAAATGTGACCATTTACCAGAAAAATGTGACCATTTAACCCACCCCCTCTCTTCACACTCATCACACATACAAAACTACACACTGGGCAAACGATGTTCAGAAAAGGTGTAAATATATTCATTTGAAGTCCAGCTGTTTCCATGAATCCAATAATTTAAAGGTGCTGTGTCTGATTTTCACAGTCTTGAACATGAAAACACAACTAGTCCATTTCAAACCTGTTTGGAGCCGAGAGTTCCGAGAGTTTATAAGCACTTTTCACCACTTTAAGAGGCCATAGCAGAATTTACCGTCATGGTGCATCTAAAATTAGAAGGATAATGGACAACTTCATGTTTGGCAGAGAACAGAACTGTTTCTAATTTGGTACAGAAAGCACACATCGTCTCATTTTCACAGTGAGCACTGCTGTCACAATATAGCTGTACTTAAGCAAAACTGATTTTCCTTAATTGAAAACAATTGGATACAGCCAAATATATTTGTTTAGATTATCACCCAATGCAAGTACTACCAAAATGTGGTTGCTGGTTCTCTACTTTCTTGAACCACCTTTAATATTGAACACTCTTGTCCTTGCCTGGGATCTCGAAAACAAATTCTTTGATACTTTACTTTAAGAAGATGTGAGTCTGGTCATCACCAGTTTTCAAATAGGTGTGACTGACAAGTAGATTAACCAGTCGAGGAGATGCACGGTCTGCCCAAACTGGAACAAATAAAGGAAAAAAATATCACTGAAAATCATCGTCTATTTCTACAGAATCAATGAGCCACGCGCTAAACTCTGTTATTCTGAAGTGAGATCAATTTGATTTTATTTGTAAATCATAGGTGACCAGTGAGCTCTTTGTTTGATTGCATGATCATGTTTGACTGGACTTGAGATTTAGCAGAGGGTTTGGGGACCAGATATTCATCTGTATAAAGAAATATAGAGAGAGATCATTCTGGATTTCCAGGCAACGTCTGACCCCAAATTTTAGAGATTTTATACAATAGTTGTCTAGCCATTGCAATTTGACTCCTGTAAACCTTTAAACATACAAATCAGTAAAAAATTATCACAAAAGCCACTGTGGGTGGCTTACTTTATTTGCCATGGTTCAGTGCAACAGTCAGGATTAACTTATCCAACTATGAAAGGTATTAGTTCTGCATTCTTAGGCACATTATGAAAAGATTAGGCCGTGCTATAGACACCTCTGTTCTGAGATTTAAGTATTAATATGTTGGTTTTAAGTCAGAAAATATACAGCATATTTTTTTTCTTAAAAATTCTTTTTCTTCAAAATGCTCTGTTCCACCTTGTCATGAAGCGCTCATTGTCAAGTTAACAGCTACATTTTTATCAATTTCAATAGACCAATGAGGTTAATTTTTTTCTTCAAAAATCTACGTTATTAGGTTCTTGTTTCAGACAAAGAGCTTGTTTTAATACCTGACAGTTTTGAGTGCTCATTAGCAGTCTTCCTCAGAGTGGTCACGTGATGTTGCTGTGACGTGTCCACTCAGCTGATTTAGGTTTTGGCATTGTCTTTCTACTGGTGGAAGCAGGACGACAGCGCCATCTGCAGTCCGGCTTCCTCAGGACAGTATCCCAGGTGTGTGAGAGTAAAAAGCCCCCTCATCCTGGTTTATAGTTCTGTGAGTACGTTTCTGTATAGAAAAAGTGCAGAAGGCAATGGGAAAACACAATATCAATACTGGTGAAACCATACAGAAAACTAAAAAATACTAGAAAACTAAAAAATAAAATAGAACCGAAGCATAAATGTAATGTCATATATGAAATACCCTGCATGCCCTACAATTAAACATACATTGGGGAAACAGGGAAGGCTTTCAGTACATGAAAAAAGGAACATCGGACAGAATGCGAGAAGGAAACAGTGAAGGTGTGTACACAAGCAACAAAACAGAAAGCAGAACAGGAGCAAGTCAAATCAGCCATCTCTGATCACTGTAAAAGAGAGAAGCAAACATCACTGGAACAGAGGAAAACAACATTGTCGCTGGACATATGGAAACATGCCCAGGGGACTATAAACCGGGACAAGGGGGCTTTTTTACTCTCACACACATGGGACACTGTCCAGAGGAAGTCGGACTGCAGATGGCGCTGTCGTCCTGCCTCCACCAGTAGGAAGACACATCACAGCAGCATCAAGTGACCACTCTGAGGAAGACCGCTAGTCGAAACTGTCAGGTATGAAAATAAACTCTTGGTTGGAAAAAAGAACCTAATAACATAAACTTTTTCAATAGAGATTGGTAATTCCAGGTCTGAAATTATCTGAATGATTCTAGTGAAGATGTATGGAGTTTTGAGAGAAGAACTTTAAATATGTGAATGAAACAAAACACAATTCCAAATATGTTTTTGATGAGGAAACAACATTATAACATAGATCAGAAAATAGTGTTATATGGTTCTTTTAACTTCCATAACCCAAACTTCTAATACGCTACTATAATTATACCAGTTCTTTCGGTAAGTTAGTGCTGTATTTTTCAACATGTAATTTGACCATCGATTAAACAAAGCTTTAAGTTTCTCTACACAATAGCTTGATTTCACTTACATTTAGTGGTGCGTGTACTTGCAGCCTGCTCTGTCTGCTGCCAGAACCAAAGCACTCGATCACAATTAGCCCGTAAAAAGTTAAACAAACAA